TCCGTGACAGTATGAAGTTTTGGAACACACGGGCGAACTCACGTATCGACTTCAACTTCCCCCTTCCATGCAGAACCGACACGCCGTCATCCACGTCGACCGCCTCACACCCTGGACGGGCAACGACGTCAACGGCATACTTCTGCACCCACCGGAACCAGTCGAAGTCGAAGGGGAACTCGAGTACGAGGTCGAAAAGATTGAAGACAGCCGCACGTACCGTAACCAGTTCCAATACCTGGTCAAGTGGAAAGGCTACGATGAAGGCCAGAACAGCTGGGAGCCGGCAAAGGACCTCACTCATTGCCAAGAGCTCATCGACGAATTCCACGAGCGGAACCCCACTGCCCCACGTCGAATTGCAGCGGCCATCTTTCAATCTCTTCCCTGGCAACCCCTCGTCAACTTCACCACTGCCACACCCTCCGACCTCGAATGGGCCTCCGGACGGCGCCCCGGCCTCGGGTCCATCGGGGACCGACGGACCTTAGGAGGGGGGTAATGTCACGGACGTTGGACAGACGCCCCTTTTTGCCGCCCATTCCCCTCCCCTTGACGCCCACCTTCCATTTTTGGACCATTTCCTTTCTTAGCCCATCCCAGTTTGGACACTGTAGATACGTTCCCACACCCGCATGCTACGTTCCCGTGATCGTCATGCCCTTGCCTTTTCTTTCTCGCCCTTTGTTCTCTCTTTGTCATCTTCACTGCCTCGCTCTCGCGCCTTGTCCTTGGTTGCTAAGCAGCCCCTCTAGTATATAAGGACCCCCTTAGGCACTCCCTAGTCCCCATCTCGACCTCTTGGTCATTGGGACTAGGTGAGTGACCATAGCATTGTATCTCCCTTCGATTGCTAATGTATAACTTGGTCATTGGGACTAGTCTGTCGCTGTCTGCGTGAAGACTAGCTTTCGTAGGTCTCGTGCCTTTGTGCCGACCTCCGCTCTGCCCTCGTCGAGTTTTCTGTCACGTTTATCCCTCTCTCTCTCTCTTTCCCCTTTCGGCTCCTTGCCGCTCGCTTACGAGGTCGTCGCTGAACGTCGATCCGAGTCTACGCGCCTAGTCGCCGCGACAACGTCCTTTGATTGACTTCCATGCATATCATCTTTATTCAATACATCTCACAGTGAACTTAGGCATAAACTTGAACAGGGACTTGGAGGACTTGGCCAAGTACCTGGTACTTGGCCAAGTCGAGTGGGTCGACTTGGCCAAGTCCATTGGACTTGGGGTACTTGAGGTACTTGGGATACTTGAGGTACTTGGCCAAGTACCTCAAGTACCTGCACAAGTCCGTGACGTTTTCCTGATAAAGCTTCTACAAGAGAAAGACAATCTCACGATCTCATTCGATGGCGGTTCTCTCAAGTCGACAAGCTCGAACCTAACGATTCACATCATCACTGAAGACTGACGTGTGTTCTTCTTTGAGGGGAAGGATTCTACGGGATTCTCACACACAGGCATGTACTATTATCATGCTTTGAAGAATGTATGTGTACCATGTCTTTGGAAAGCACTGTCGAACATGCTAATCATTGAATGTGTATAGGTCATTAACCTAATTGGTCCAAAGCGAATCCGTGGGATCTGCTCAGACAACACGAGCAACACGACAACTGCGTGTGACATGATACACGAGGACTTCCCCTGGATCATCATCCTTCCCGACGCCTGTCACCGGCTTAGTCATTTATGTGGCGACATCTGTAAACTCGAACACTACAAGGAGGTAAGTCAATTGACAGCTTTCATTAGGAGTTGCATGATGTGTGGGGACTGCAGTGCAAGAGGCCGTCTGGTGCATGAAAGATTGATAATGTGCTGATACATTGTTGTCCCTAGTCTATCAAAAACTTGTGGCGTGCACTCAAGTACCTAAAGAAGTCAGGAGCGGCCCGGGAGCATCTACGACGGAAACACCTCGAGATGGGCATCACACAGGGTCTTGTTTCAATAGGGAAGACACGCTTTGCAAGCATCTATTTCGCATCTGCAGGTTTGCTCCGGTGCATGCCTGCACTGCGTGATCTGTGTGTGTCAAAGACAATCATGATCAAGGTGAGCGCAACTAAATACTCTGATAGAACCTAGGCTAACGTCTCTACTAAGATGTCAACTCTCTGTTCTTGAACAATGCGCCTGCATGGAAGTTCGCAGCAGAGTTAAAGGAGCTTGTCGCCGTACTCGGACCAGTGGCAAAGTCGATTACATGCCTTGAGTCAACCCACTCCACCGTGTCCGATGTTTACATCTTTTGGCTTGCATGCATGGCAGGAGTCTACGACGTCATTAGCAACAACGACACCGGCATGACTCAATCCGATAAGGACGCCATTAGGGAGGCCGCTCAGGCACGATGGCTCCAGATGATCGAGCAAGCACCTTCAGACGTTTACTTTGCCAGTTTTGTCTTTGATCCTCATGAGTTCTGTCATTCCATTCAGTCTAAACTGACCTCATCTGAAGTCTTGATATATCGCTTACTAGGTTTCCAAGGCCACGATCTGCTTCACGACCTCAATCCTCTCACTATCAAAGCAATCAAAATTCCGAGCCTACACCCGAAGAAGGAGCCAGAACTTCCGAAAAGTGTCATGCGCGCTGGTAACTTCCTTCTATCTCTACTGCACATTGAGTATGAGAAGAAGGATGTACAAATTGCTGGCTTACCCATTGCGCAGGCACTAGATGAGCTTAAGGACCAAATTTGCCTATTCATCAAAAGCGCATATCCCTTTGAGCAGCTGTTGACTCCTTCTCAAGATCCTTTCGAATGGTGGAAGTGTCTTGACGAGGACGTTGGACGGAAGGCTGCGGTACAACCATTAGCAGTGAGTACTCACTTTAGCATTGTGTTCGACACCGTTCACAACTCTGCTGACAGTACCTGGCGCGCGCAATCTTCGCCCTTACCCCAAACTCAATGGCGGACGAACGGACACAATCGACTTATACCTGGCTGAATAGCTATCTCTGCAATCGCCTGCATGTTCCCACCGTGACGCGGATGATCCAAATTTGCAACTGGTGTATTCACAAGAGGAAGGTAGGCTACAAGTACCGTTATCGAGACGAATGCTATAACTACTACTCACATATTGCAGAGCCTTGTCTCTGCCCGCCGCCCAACTGTCAAATTCCGTGACATGCGCCCCATACTAGGTCATCAGCAAATGTGCGAAAATCGCCCTTGGGATTGCCAGTATGGCCTGAAGCACCGGATCAGGCGCGAGACAGCGCGAGCGCCCAATATGGGGGCAAGAAGGGCCCGTTCTCCCAATACTCACAATATCGGGCGAGAATGGCGATGAGATTATATGACAGCGCAAGGTTTGCTAGGGCTTGCATGAACTCGTGTGCTCGCACAATGATGTATAGTACTCGTATGTTGTGACAAGAATATATCCTGGTTTAGTATGGGACGTTGTTTTTCACCTTATCATAGTCAGCGCAGCAGGGGTCGGCTTCCTGATGAGGCATTAAACTACATGCGCACAGCTCTCATTCAAGGATACATTGTATTCCCTAATTACGCGAGCAGGCTTTGTCCATAGGGGTCTCCCCGTGCATAGTGAGGTTGAGACAACTAAGCTTGACGCACACAGGGGAGAACGTACAGGTGGAGCAACAACGGCAGGCGGGCCTGCCGCGACTACTGTATTATTCTGCGAAAGAGACAAAGGCGAGGGTGCGTGAATGCCGCGTACCACTGTCGGCGAGATTGACACAGTCGCGCGCTGGGGTGCAGGCACGTTCATAATGTCGCCATTGTAGCCATGGTGGACTTCGACCGTTTCGTCGTGATCTGCAAAGGCCGTATGGGCAATAGCGGCGGGCATAGCAAGATTTGCGATGCTTGAGCGATGGATTTGGCGCGGCTACAGGTAAGATGAGTGCTACATAACGGTGATAATAAAACGAATGAACAAGACAACGCACCTTCCTTCTCCGAGCGCCTCCACCGAGATGGTCAGGTCGCCACCTGTCAACCTAGAGAATGACCGCGACCTCGGTCTTGACGTGTGCACTGTAGGGGTGAAGTTCGCCCGTTTGATGGGTTGTCCGATCGTTGGCCCCAGTCCTAGTCCTTTTATGCAAGCCCAGGCATAGGCCCCGCTGCGTTCAACGTCCGTTGATTCAGTGTGGGCGGTGGTATGGGCAGAGATGTCATAGTCCATTTACCAGTATTGGGACCGGACCCACGGTCCACACCAAGTCAAACTCGCCTGCACACAGTCAGTGGCGTAGGCCGCCCTTCCCATCTGGCAGCAACCACCATACCCGGGACATGATGAATGAAGACAGGAGGCAGACCTATGTGTCATCATGTGACGGGAGCTCCTGTGCGGGCTGCGGCCGGCCTGCGGTCTCCGTAGCAGGCTTCGGAGCACCCGGGTGAGGCATGATGAGACTCTGCAGCATCAGTGGATAAGGCTTCGGGTAGTTGGGATCACGGATGCGAGCTTGAAGGTGTCCTTGAGGAGGAGGCGAGGAGGCAGGGAGAGGAGCTTGAGACATCGGATAGCCAGGAATGTGACCATCGCCGATCATGCTGGATCTGTAGGGCGGAGGCGGTGGCCTGTCAGTGTAGAATTGCTGGAGTAGGAGGCGGAAAAAACCTGGCTGCAGGGTGGTGGTAAACAATTTCAGCTGCCTACGACTTCGCTGTCATGGGCATGACCTCGTCGTGATGCTCCTCTTCCTTTTCTCCAGACCGTCGCCGATGGCTACCGGGGGATTCAGACTCCTCGTTGTTAGGAGCAAGTCCTTTCCCTTAGCCAGCTTCTGAGACGTTCATCGCAGCCGCCGTGGTAGAAGGATATAGGGGAGAATTCAACGTAGAGGAACCAAACGTCGCAGACGGAACAGTCGACGAAGCCTGCGAGGAGCTAGTTGTTGCATGGAGTTAAGATGGCTCGGACTCCTTTCTGAACGTCAGCAGCGTGGGCAGATTCTGCTCCATCCTGCGCATCTCCGTCTCCTTCGCCTCGGACGAGGTTCTTGACGTTGCCGTTTCGCCAGAGCCCGCTGTGGTAGAATATGTGCGCCTTCTCGCGGGTTTCTTGCACTCTGATTAGGCCTTAGTTGCCGGGTAGTAGATGTTCAAGAGGAGGACGAGGACTCACAACAAGTGCATATAGGCACTAGTGATGACACTGACGAGGACTATGGAACAGACAGGAAGCGCATTTTGGGGGAAATTCTGCTCATCTGTGCCAGCACGAGCACGTGTTCAACGCGTTGAACGTGTCTTGCTCATAGGCGCCCATGCGCGTCATCGCTCTTCACCTCCACACTATAAAGAGTGTCCTCACGCAAAAACGTCAAGACTATCTTTTCCCTCGTACTCTCATCTCTTCCTTCGACCCAGCACTTCAATACCAATACTGAAAGACGCTATTAGCAAAGGGAAGGGTAAAATCTCCGCCCTTTGCAATACCCCGCACTTCCCATTGCCCAAGTCCCCTTAAAGCCAAAGGATGCACTGCACGGCAACCACGCACTGTACGTACGATTTCAGCGCATATATGCATTGGTGGTTGGTCTCCTACATGCTGGTTTTGCCAGCGACGTCCCTTTTCTGCCTGTCCAGGCCAGAGTCCACAGCTTTCCTATACATCGGGCTTTCTCTGGAGTCATGGCTCCGCCCTCATTGAGATCATTTCAATTCACCCACCCTGCCCTCTCGTCTCGCAGGCCTTTCTGAGTACCTCCTCGACCCTTTTTCCCGTTCTCTTGTACTACCTGGTCTCCCCTGTCCTGCATCGCGTGTAGATAGCACCCCGCCTCTACTCACGTTAGGCTAGGTTCTCAGACAACGCTCACGCGATACGACCATACCTCAGCCCAAGTTCATCGACAGGCCCCCTCGACATGCACTTCTAGGACCCGGGCAGGATCCCTGGTACACGTATGGCATGACGGTACTGTGCATATATCCCCATCTTGGAATGACTAATCTCAACGCTGACAAATGCATTCAACAATATAGCATCCTCATCCCGTGGTTCACCGTGCGCGCAGTCAAGGTAGACATCGAAGCGGTGAGTACCCTCAGTAAGCAGTATAGTGCCTCCGAGTCCGACCTTCCTGGCTCCGCCTCTTACAGCCATGTCCGAAGGTGGCGATCCTACGCTTCGAGAGCGGTTGGTAGCAAGGGCTCATCTCTTGGATCTCATTCTCTTCGGTCATAGAGTACCTTGCCTTCGGGATCGTCTCGTGAGTCATCGTTCTACTAATTTCTGAGTCAATGCGCCTCATCTTTCGTCTGTGCTCTCTCCCTATGGAGCGTGCCTGACCCTACTGTAGGTTGTCCCAACTCCCGTGCTCCCCCCTACTCACCCCCATTTGCCGTAGTGTCAGTCCGGCGTGTTTTGCCTGCTCAGCAAACAATGGTACCGTCTGTGAAGGTTGCATTCAACGAGCAGCGCCCTTCGTTCCTTCTTTGACGACACTCCAGTCCAGCCCAAGCGCGCATATAGTCTCCCCGCTACCTCGGGCACACTATATGTTGTGACACAACTTCTAGTAGTGTTCAAGACGCTAAGTCCATCAATCTAGCTCTCGATCGACTGACTGACCTGCCTTGAGAGTAGGGTTCCAGGATTTTGCGCTGTGGGACTCTCGTAAGTGCAAGATCATGCCATCCCCACTTCCACTCCACCGCCTGTCCCAGGTAGGGTAGCTACCTTGGTATTTGCGAAGTTCGGCGAGGTTGATGCAACATCACCTGCAGCGTACGTGTACGAGCGATGAGGTAGGGTCACGAGTAACTGAACGGTACGTCATATCTTGAAGGCTCAGAAGTCCCTTCCACTTGTGCATCTCACGCCGCACACCATCAGGGACCTTATTGACGGCGACAAACCCGCCCATCCTTCTGACACCCGCAGAACAGTGCAGGAGCACGGGTGAGTCGTCCTTTGCGTCATTGAAATGTCCATGATTATGTTGACCGCATCCACAGGAGCATATCTGCCACAACGGTATTGCCATGCAGCGGCACATTTGTACGGTAGAGTAGACCATCACCTCCCGGTCTCTGGTCCACCCTCCGCGACACTCCGACAGCCTCGTCAACATAGCGCATCCAGTGCAGCGCACTACACGGGTCGCCCGGACCCTTGAGATCAGGCCAATCAACGTACTGGAACTGCGTGACAGTCCAGGGAGGCGCATACAGGTACGCGGTGTTGGTGAGCTCAGTTTGTCATCCTCATAGTCCTTGTACATCTCGACGACACCAACACCACCTTTGCTTTTGGAGTTCATGTTCGACTTGCGCCTTGGCTTCCCCTTCATGATAATGTCAGTATGTATAACTGTCTTGTTCCGCAATATATCATATGGGTATCTGCACGCGCATCCTCCCGAGCCCGATTATCATTTCGATGTAAATGCAATACATTTTGAGTTCCTAGTCACACACCACCTGGACTCTCCTAATCATCCAATACATGGATTTTGAGGCATTGACTCGAATACCCTGCACCATGTGTCCCTTGTTGTCCCATGTCGCACCAAATTGTAGCGATTGCCCCGTCTCGCAATTCCGACAATTCCGGGCAACCTTAGAAGGTATGGCGCTCGATCGCTGGTATTGCGTGGCACTGCAATCTCTGCAACACCATGCAAGACCAGCGACATCTCGGTCCTATTGCCTAGCATTTCCGAGCATTGCCTGTCCATGCAGGCAGTCTGTGGATATTGCCTTCCATGGGAAACGCGACAGGTCCATTGGAATGAAACTCGAATCATGCCTTATATTCTTGCGCTTGCCTGAATAGGCGTGGGAGGGTAATGTCTGGCAACACTTTCACACTTTTGCTGATGGTATCCTCGCTGGTGCGGATGTCCAACGATGCGAGATGGGAAAGCCGGGCTCGAGTACCGACAATCCTGTCGTGGTTCACGAAGACCAAGACTCCGGTGATAAGGGTGAGGGGGACGATGACCTAGGAGATTCCATAGACTCCGAGTCTGAAGGCGATGATGAAGATGATGAGGCCGGTGACAATTGGGGCGAGGATGAGGATCCCGCCATGACGTATGGCAGGCTGGCAGAGACTCTCGAGAGCGCTGCTGATGGACTGAACATTAGCTCATGGTTCCTCAAGGACTACTTCTCTGACATACCAGTTATGTCTCCTGAGGCTGCTTCTAACCACAAGGGAAAGGGGAAGGGAGTTGCGGCGCACAAAGGAGTTGCGACGAGGGTGCTCCAGGAGGCCGACTGGACGATGGGCGGGAGATGATTTGCCTGTATTATGTAATAGGCGCCTATGCTAATAACTGCTATCAACCAGGCGAATAACTCCCGCCCCCCCTCCTGGTCGTTTGATAACGCTGCGAAGATCTCATCTGGAGTTCTTCGCCCAACACTATAAGGTGATGTCGCAGTGGATTTGCTTGTAACCAGGAGATATGCTTTCTGCTATGAACGAGAGCTTATGTACATAATGCATGGCCTATACTATCAGATTGACGTCCGTAAGAATGTCTTGCAATGGCGATGGCGGATTGAACCTGACACCAATGCAGGTAAGTACAACGCAAGCTTCCTTAAGCGTCGTACCGACACCCAACCCTCTAAGGACTCACGTCAGCTTGACCTGGTCGTCCTACTCTCCTCGAGATCGCCAGCGGATATGTGGATATCCCAGTATTGCAGGTACGTCGTCTTCACGATGAATCGCTTCGACCCCTTCCGCCCGAACTTGCACAGCTGCTCGTATCCGACAGCTCGATCTGCTGGAATCCGACACAATGCGTTCTGTTCAATGGATGCTCCATCCAATTGTGATACCACGTGCGGAGGGCAGGAGGAGCGAGGGACGTACTCAGGGTAACGAACTTGGGGATGAGCGCTCATCCTAAAGTTTGTCACCCTAGTTTATCAGCAACTCAGAGTTTGATGGACGTTCAGCTATACCCCTCATGATCTCGCTCTCCCTAGCAGATGCTATCGTCCTATCGTATTTGATATTGTTGGCTCTGGCCCTCTTTCCATACCGCAAACATGATCATGTCTTCGGGTGGAAGCTACTACAAGACGAAGAGCACGCTTACAAGCACAAGGCATGGACGATGCCACCCGAAGGCGTCCGACTCCTGCTCGTCCGGGGTCATACAATAGGCTTGCTTTCCAAAACTCAGAGCGAGATGAACCTGATATCATTACAGATAAGTACACGGCAACGTTACTAGCTATCCTACCGGCTCCAAAGCGCACGAGCAGCCCCCGAACGCTCACGCGATCTTGATCTGGTTCGTCGTGCTCTGCTCGAGTTCGTCCCCAAAGATGTTGATGTCCCAGAAAGGCGGGTACGTCGTCTTGACGTTGAACCGCTTCGGGCTCTTCCGCCCGAGCTCGCTCAGCTTCTCGTAGTCCTCGTCCGACAGCTCGATCTGCTGGAAGTTGGACACAATGCGTTCTGCCCGTCCATTCACAGCGGTCAGCGCTATATGGGTCACGAGGAGGCCGGAGGAAAACGCACCTGGGGTGATGGACTTGGGGATGACGGAGTAGCCGCGCTTGACGCCCCAAGCAATGAGCACCTGAGCGGGCGTCGCATTGTACTTTTGGGCGAGCTCGAGCACCTCGGGGTACTCGGTCAACTTCTTGTGGCCAGCCACTATTACACCCCGACCGATCAGTAAGTGCCAGGAAGTCGGTCAACAAGGCAAACGCACGGTTGTTACCGAGGGGCGAGTATGCGGTGAGATGGATGTTGTGCTCCTTGGCGTATTTGACGAGGTCGTCCTGGAGAAGAAGCGGGTGCGCCTCAATCTGGTTCACGGCCTACGCGCACGTCACTTCGTCAGCCGTGTATTCATAGATCGTCAAACGAGAGAAGAGGCGCACAGGCCAGACACCAGTGGCGTCAACGATGCCCTGGATATGGTGAATAGAAAAGTTGGAGACGCCGATCGCCTTAACCTTGCCGGTATCGAGGAGCTTGATCATAGCCTTCCAGGTGTCGACCAGACTAGTCTCCAGGTCGAGAACGACCCAGTCGGGCTTGTTCGGGTCGAGAGGCTCCAGGGCGCCCCCGTACGGGAACGCAACGGGCCAGTGGACGACTGCGTGCGCGCATGCTCAGCGTAACTCATGGAAGAGAAAAGCGAGTAAGCGACTGGGAGTGCGATACGCACGGTAGAGGTCGAGATAGTCGAGCTGGAGCTGCTTGAGCGTCTCGTCGAGCTCTTTCTCGACCAGTTCGGGCTTATGCGACGTGTTCCAGAGCTTGGAGGTGATGAACAGCTCCTCGCGTTTCACGACGGACGGGATGACTTTCTTCAACGCCCGGCCGACCTCGTCCTGGTTCCCGTAGATTATTGCGGCGTCGATGTGCCGGTACCCCGCGCGGATGGCCGCCTCGACCTGATCGCCCGTCATCCCGCGTCAACCCTGACATCTTTCCTCGCCCCTTAAACAAGAGAATAGCATAACATACAGCATTCTCGACTTCGTTCGGCTTCGACAGCCAGGTGCCCAGACCAATCTGGGGGATCTTCTGACCAGTCGAGAGGGTGAGGTACTTGCCGTGAGACATTGCTATTCCGTTCGACAACGACGACGAGGGGTGCGAAAGCAGAGCGCAAAAGGTGGGGGAGAGATGAGTGCGCGATAGGGTATGACGAGCTCGAGATTTATAGTCCGGTGGATATATCGTGACGCGGACCGCCGGGCCGAGGAGGCGTCGGGAAGAATCGGGAAGCCGCGGGTACGGGTCAAGGGGTTTATGCAAGTCGCATGACCACGTTCGACGATGCGTAGAAATTGAACTGATCGGATCATAAGTTCAGAATGCGTGCCTTGGAATGTTAGATGTTCAGGGGACGAAGGTAAGAAGGGCAACGAGACGTTAGGACGAACAAGGGGCGGAAGAGAGCGGGGCGCACCGTACCGAGGCCGGACCGCTGTGTTAACATATTCATGCGAAGGGGAATACGGTTTACTCGGCAGTTGTGAACATGCTCGACAGTGGAGAGAAGAAACTGGAAGAGCTTATAGAAGCGTTGCAACTGGTGAATGTACGCACCCAGCACAGGGATCGTCAAGAGGGGACCCACTTTGTCGCAGGATGACGCGATCTGCCGAAAGTTCAGCACGTCGAATGAAGAGAACAAACAATTCGGCGATGGCATCCAAAGATCTGGATAGTAAGATGTAAGGCACTACGCTACTGTATCACTCATGCTAGTAAGACGCGAAGACGTCCGAGGCACGGAAGAAGACGCACGTAAGATGTCTGTCAGTCCTCGCCCATCTCGCTGTCTTCCTCAGGGCCCTCTTCAATTGCGCTCTCGTCCTCATTCTCCTCATCGTCCGCACCGAAGAACTCGTCATCCGCAACTCCCCCTTTCGCAGGTTTCGACCATGTCATTGACGCGCAGTCTCCCGCCTTTTTCTGCTTCGTACTGGAGGACGGCGTAGGATGCGACGGCTCCGCGGTCGGTGCGCTCCTCCCTCGCTCAGACTTCCCGACTTCGACCTCCGGCTCCGAGCTCAACGCCCCACCCTCCATCTGCTCCCTCACCCACGCCCTGATCTCCTCCCGCTGCCTATCGGTCTCCGCCTTGCCCTTCTCATCCACCGTCTCCGCCTCTGCCTCCTCCCCCTTCCTCACCTCCGGCGGGAACAGCGAGATGTACTTCTTCGTCTTCGGGTAATGCAGCACGTAGTTCAAGTCCACCCTCAGCTCCCCCAATCGCTTTTCAAGCTTCTTCCTCTCCTTCTTCCCCAGCGTCTCCCCCTCCCCGTCCTCCCCATCACCCTTGAGCTGCCGCTTTACTTGTGCAATCTTCCTCAGCAACTTTTGCCGCTCGAAGAACTTGACCTTGTGGTATCTTGCAGCGAGGCTCCGCTCGACGCGCGCCCGCTCGGCCTTCGCGAGGTCGGCCTCGAGCGACTTGAGCCGACGCTCTGTCTTGACGCGCACGTCGGCGGCGAGCGAATCTTTCGCGAGCAGGCGGCGGGTCTGACGGAGAGCAGCTTTGATCTTTTGGACGCCTGGGAGGGCAGTGGGAGATGAAGAGGTTGAAGGGGAGTGGGCAGAGTGTTTCTTGGGGTGCTGGCGTTTGGTGGGTTTTTGCGTCGACGCGTTCGCGGAGTGTTTGGAGGATGAGGGGTCGGACATGGGCGTGTGTCGCGTTGAGGCCATGATCAGAAGGTGACCTGCAAGTAAATCATGCGAGGAGGAGCAAACTGGACGGAGATGCAAGGAGATGTCGATTGTGGTTATCAACAGAGAGTTTGGTTTCGAAATTATGGCAGCCAACTCCGACTGACGCTCATGGGCACTTTCTACAGTGACCGCATACAATAGCGCACCACGTGCAATAAGCGCCCAAAGGAGGCAACATCATTGCGGCTCTCCTGCGTCACCGAGACCACGGGGTGGCACAAGAATTAGGAGATGGGTAGATAGAAAGCTAGAAGTTGTAAATATGTAGGGTGGTAGTATCAGCATAATTGCTTGGGGAGGTATAGTGACAGGAAGTGCGCAGAGTCTGTTTTTTTGAAGAAAATCATGGAAAAATAGCAGAAAAATGTCCTTCCATTCAATCGAGACAAAATTTCGGGATCAAACACAATACATACCCCTGTACAAGACGCATACACCGCCGGGCGAGAGCGATAAGTGTCAGATATCGTCGGGAGAGGCCGATCACATATCGTCGGCCATATCGAATCTCTATCCACGGGGTACCTCCCATCAATATAACATTAGACCTTCTTGATCCCATACCGCTGATCCCATATGCCATTCAGGTCGCCCCTGTCTATAGTCCATGTTCTCCCCTTTATCGACTCTACATGGTTCCGATGGCGCCCGTTTGATTAGCTGCCGGGTTTTACGCCAGCTTCCGCCCACAATCCCTCATGTTCGAATAATCGCCATCGAATCATATAGGTGTAGAATTCAAATATGAATATATTGAGCGTGTTACAGACTACATAATATGTACAGGATGCGTGTTACACGGAACGACATGGGATACTGGCCCAACACGATACCTGGTCCCCTCGGACGCCCTCCTGTTCTGTCTCCTTCCCGCTGTCCTGCTTGCGTGAGCATGGCGAGTCTGGCAGCCGATGTT